AATTAAGTATTTTGTCTGGGCCTAAGGCGGAACCATTTGCCTTTTTTCTCCCGCTCTCACCTATGCTGGAAGTTAGGAAATGATATTGTGAAGTCAAAGTTTTGAGAGTACTTACCTTTTAATAAAATTGCTTTGGCTTAAGCTTGAAGTTTACGACAAACGGCAAATAATGATAGAAATTGGCCCTTCCTTCTTCCACCGCTTGTACATTAAGTGAGAATATTTGCATTACATAACAACCGGGACCTACTGGCTTATATTAAGAAAAACGCGCAACTAAAAAAAAATTTTTTGTTACCGCTATCAGTTTTCTCCAATTAGCTTTTAGCTGGAGATTGCCTGTCTTGTTGATATTACTTTCCTTGAAAGAGAAATTGTCTCTGAGAAATCACGACTCGTGAGTCGGAAGATGTTTCTTGGAGAGAACTTTGATCAACTAGGAACTCTTTTTCTATATAACGAGGTAAAAATAAAAGGTAGATTTAAAAATCAATTACCAATGTTTGATGTATTAAGTCGTAGGCAATAGATCGAGTGGTGTATAACTAAACTGAATACGGTTTTTATCAACTGAGTTGATAACGTAAATTGGCCACTGTAAGGAGTTTTTAAGCTGACTTAAAGAGATGATGACGACCCATAGCCGCTGTGATCACACTTCAGGGTTAAGTGAGGATTATGGGATTTCTGGTCACTCCCTCGCGTGAAATTACTGGACGACAAATAAAATGCCAGGCAAGCAGCTTGCTGGTCAAAACGTCTTAATAATTTTATGAGATAGTAGTTAATAAATCATCGATTGTGTTTGCTAATGGTTTTCGTAGTTTTTTAGCATTCGATGTTGATGATGCTTAAGTAGGTCGTCGGCTTACCCAGGCGGAAAATTGGCAAATAATGTGATTGTACATTCATTTTCACAAAATAAAAATGAGCATAAAATTACTGAAGGAGCGAACTAATCAAAAACAAAATACTCGATTCGTGTGATCATTGCTGGCTAGTAGTTCTCGCTAAACTACACATTTTTAGTTTTTTATTTAATGTGAAGACTTTATTTATTGAGGATAGCACGTGATAGTGCACAAACACTAATAAACTTGTGGTCCTCCTAATTACAATAAATATATAAATACAATAGAATCATTAATAGAATGAAATATAAATAGAAAATTAGCTAAAACAAGTAAGAATATATAAAACTACTATCAATAAAATTTACGGATTAAAATGAGCTAAGCATGATTGGTCCTTATAGTAATATTTAAATACGTTGTCTTTAAAGGCCTTAAGTGTATTAGACTTTTTTAATTCAGGCTTTAACTGATTCCATAATTTTATGGCAGAAACTAGAAAAGTTTTCCCTCCTTCTCTAGCCCTTTTAAACTTAGGTAATAAAAAGTTGTATTTACAAAATCTAGTGTTGCGTGAATGTACTGAACTTAATAATCTTAAGCTATCATTAAGATAATTAGGTACACAATAATTAATCCTTTTAAATAGTATTGAACATTTAGCCATCTTAGTAGAGTCATAAAATGGTATCCACTTTAAACGATTGAATAGCATAACTGATGAACTACGTGGTTCAGCATCTAATAAAACCCTAGCAGCTCTCTTTTGTAGCCTAAGTATTCTTAAAAGAGATTCATTAGAGCAAAGTGACTGCCATGCAACATTGGCATAATCAAATAATGGCTTAATTAAACTATTATAAAATAAAAGTCTTTGGTTAAATGGTAAACAAAGTTTGATCTTATTCAAAATTCCAATTCTTTGTGAAATTTTTTTACACAGTCTGTCAACATAAGTGTTCATTGATAAATCGTGGTCAATGTCTATACCAAGAAGTTTAGCTGAGGGTACTTGTTCCAATGATACACCATTCATAGTTTTAAGAGATAAATTATAACCATCTGGTAGTTTCTTCCCAAGGCGTTTGCCTGTGACCAGTAGTGTTTTAGTCTTTTTTTTCATTGAGGAGGAAGTTTATTGGTGTGCGTCCAGCATTCAATTTCCTTCAAAGAAGCAGCTAGTGAATCTTGTAGAGAATCAACCGCTGAGATATCTGCCGATAATGTCAGTGTGGTGTCATCAGCATAGAGATCCAGGTCAGCACCATTAACATGTAGAGGCAAATCATTGATATAAATGACAAAAAGTAAAGGGCCAAGGATACTACCCTGTGGAACACCATGCCTCACAAGAGTAGAGTCAGATGTCACATTATCAATAGCAATAAATTGATGTCTATCAGTCAAGTATGAACTAAACCATTTACTTGCAACTGGAGTTAAACCATAGGCATTCAGCTTTTGCAAAAGAATTTCACGGTCAACCATATCAAAAGCTTTCCTGTAATCAACTAAAAGAAGACCGCTGACTTGATCATTGTCTAGATTAAATAACAAATTGTCTATGACTCGTATAAGAGCAGTGTCTGTTCCATGGTGTTTCCGAAAACCTGACTGTAAAGGGTACAATAGATTGTTTTCACATAAGTAATTATAGAGATGATCGTGTATATGACGTTCCAGAATCTTTGACAAAACAGGTAATATCGAAATGGGTCGATAATTGTCAGGATCCTCACGGTCCCCAGATTTAAACAACGGAATGACTTTCGCTATCTTCCAACAATCAGGGAATACACCAGAATTAATTGAAATATTCAAGATTTGAGTAATTGAATAAGCAATAGCTGGTCCTGCTATTTTCAGATATCTTGCACTTATCTTGTCAATACCCATAGCTTTGTTTGTTTTAAGTCCTAACAGAGCACCCAGCACAAAATCTTTGGTAACAGGAGGAATATTGAAAAGAACATCCGGATCTTTTCTTGAACAAACAAAGTTTTCAACCTTTGAATTGCAATAAGGTACATTAGGTAGTAGATTCCTCAGTGAATCAGCAATTGAAGTGAAGTGATCATTAAACTTTTCGGCCAAAACAACATTTGGCGTCTCAACTGATTTTGATACATCGCCCATTAGTGATTTTATGGTTTTCCACATCTTTTTAGAGTTTCCCTTGTTGTTGTTGAAACAGGTATTATAGTATTTATATTTCGCACTGCGAATCATGTTTACAACTTTATTCCTCGCGATTTTGAAGCAGTTCCAATCCGTGACACAACGACTTTGCCTTGCTTTACGTAGTAAAGAATCCCTTCTGCGAAGCGCTTGTAAAATATTCACAGTCATCCATGGAGCTTGATTTTGTTTGGCTACTTTCTTTACTCGCCACGGACAGTGGGCATCCAAGATGTTAATGAAGAGACCCATCCATGCATTTAAGATATCAGTTAAATCGTCAAAGACAAATGCAGTATTCCAAGGAACTTCTTTGAGGTCGGAAACGAAGGCGGATTTGTCAAAATGCTTCGTATTTACGATATTTAATCGTTAAAGATTTATTTTGACGCTTGGCGTTATCCTCATATAAACGAACTCCAAATACAGGCAAATGATCTGACAGCCCATTGTTTTTGACGACAATAGACTTAATTCTTTCAGGAAAATTTGACAATACAAAGTCAAGACAGGTTCCGCTTGATGGTCGAGTAACTTCAGTAATGAGCTGTTTGAAATTCATGTTAGAAAAGGCACGTCCCAAGGGATGTTTCTTGTACGCCGGAGAAATAAAATTAATGTTGATATCGCCAGTAATGATGGTTTCTAAATTTAATAGATAAACTAATTCTAACATATTCTCGATGGCCTCATCCTCTGATAAATTAGTTGAAGGAGGTCTGTAAATGCCGGCGAATAAAATGGGACGGTTAGATTTGAATGGAAAGACTTCCAACCACAATGCTTCTATATTATTATTATGCTCAATGTCGACTCTCCTTCGATGTTTCAGATCGTCATTCACATAAATTAGAACCCCACCACCATTTTTCAGGCCCATCCGATCCTTTCGTTTTAGCGAAGTCAGGCTGCAAAGGCGCATGCCAACAGCATAATGACGCCATGTGATTCATCTGTGACGAATTCGTTCTTTAGAGGCAACTGACGATATTCAGAGAGAATCGAAACTCTGCGGTCTTGCTTAACAATCAATACAAATGGCAGCAGTTACACTCACAGTCGATGGCTGTGTGAATAATATCAGATTCAGAAATTACATTCCTAGTCGCGAGTTATTTAAGAGGGAATCGACCCCTGACATACAAACACATTAAAAAGAGACAGAGACCCTTTAGTACACGAACTTTTTTTTGTGTCATCCACCAGGAGTGAATAAAAGATTTATCAAAAGAGAAGCGCTACGCATCCAAAGAAAGAACCCGAATTCGTCACGCTCCACGCCTAATAAAAACGTACAGAGTTTCAAAATATGCTTAAAGAATAGATGATGCCTAGATAAAGGTTTTGAGAAACATATCTCTAAGGTGCTTTTCTGCGGGAGAGAAAGAATACTCTAAAACAAAGAAACACAGAAGAAATATTTCCTTTTAAAACACAATCTCATCCGGCTTTGCCAAACCTAAGAACATACACCTTAACTGATGTAGTTGAAGTGTCAGTGATAGTCGAAATGTGATTGTTGACATCACCATCTTTCGTCGCTGGTTTATTTTCAGGTAGTCTTGTATAGTTTTTGTAAGCCCTGCTCTTGCCTGACCGTCTTCATAACTCACTCTTATATCGTCACATTTGTAGCCAGCTTTTTCAGAGATTTGGATTACAGCTCTTTTTATACACTTCAATTTGGTCATTGTCAGCAAACCATTGTAAAGTAAGAATTGTGTAGTTAATCCCGAGGTATTTTTTTTATTTTAAAACACCTGTAATAATCATGCACTTGGGAATGTTTACAATGATGTCCACTTTGGACGAAAGTATTGCTTTAGCAATAACGGAATGATTCCATGGCTATTTTCAAATTGTTTTATTATTATTGTTTGTTACAAATTACGGTCGACTTACAGTGGTAGCACGTGTTTTACACTAATCAGTAATTTGATTTTTTGGCTGGAAATACATCTCTTGTGAGGTTCAACAAACGGAGACTTCACGAATAAAAGCCACGAGAGCGCATACCAATAGCATGATGGCGCTGACCATTGGGACAGTGGCTACATTGCACAAATCGCCACTGCAGCAGTGGAGCTTGCATTCGACTGGAGGATCAGATGACTTGCAGGATTCATGTGCTTTGCATTTAGATTTCGCACTGCAACCTTTGGAGAAATGCTGGGTGTCGTTTTTGTCTATTTTAACTTTTACACAGTGATCTTCTTCCCCCGGGCAAGTCACTTCTTTGGTCGCACAGTGTTCCCAACTCTTAGTGCTATAGCACTGATAGCATTTGTGAGCATATCCTTTCAAATGGAAGAGACAAACCATCAATCAATCAACCAATCATTAAGTCGATCAGCTATTTGAAAAAAAGAGTTATGAATATGAAAGCGATCTTTACAGTAATGAACACTACTTAAGCAGTCCTGCGAAGATTGCTTTAATGCTCATTTCTTAACCGCAGTTCGTAAATATGATTTCACATAACTACAGTAGAAAAAAAGTTATGCAAAAAACAAACAAATGAACGAACAAAAAGTTCTTTAAGTTAAATAGTAAACAGGAAAAACAAGCGCCAGATAGCTTGTCCATTAAGAATAAGCTCATTTACTTAATGACAATTGAACTAATTTGAACTTAATTAATGACTACCCAAAAGCGACTATGCAATTTCGTGCACAACATGCGTTTATATGACAACTACGTTGGAAAACTTTCGCATAAATTATTTCTGCGATTTGAAAATATGTCGCTAACCCCACCAATACGACTTAATAAGTTTAAAGAGAATAAGGAATGTGGTATTTTTTAGCTTAGTAAAGAAACAGAGAAAATATTTTTTCTGTATTGCAGTGATCGTACATAGAAAAAGTTCTAGTACCCAAGAGGAATAAAAAATTTGTCTTTGTCCTGTGCTCGTTACAACATGGAAAACAGTTTCCTCCTAGTCTTAAATACTTAGTCAATCACTGCAGAATTGAAAATTTAGTTACTTTCAATTTAGTTAGGCGTTGGGCAAAGGCCACAATGAGTGTGATATTTGGTCTCGGCGTATTCAAAGCGAGAAACAATTTGAGAAATTTATCTGCCCTTCTTATCAAACTTGAAATCTGTTTAAACGAACTCAGTAATATCAAGTGATCAGAACAAATTCGAATGCTTTTCATTTGCTAGTGGCCACAGTCGAATCACGCTGGGACTGAGGCCGCCAAAAATTCATCGCTTTATTACTAATACTGAATATCAGAAATCAAGTTCAAGTTTTTTTTTTATAATTTACCATGTTAAGTCAAACAGGAGATGACAAATTTCAAAATTTAAAACCGCTGCGTCTTTTTTTCGAAATTGTCAAGTACCTTCTGCTCTTCACACCAATCTTACGCTTGTGTGAAAATGAAAAAATCTTAGCATGTTGTCTTTCAGTGGTATTTTGGGAAAGACAATATTGAAATAAATAATGTGGCCATACACTACTTTTACAACAAAAGTTTTTTTCAAAAAACCTTTCTTTCGGCGTTCAAGGGCATCATCCTAGGTAAAAAAAAAAAGGTATTTCTGATAATTCTGTTGATCGGCGAAAGCTCTAATCTTAAACCCAGCATATTTAATAGAACGTTCAGGGTTCAATATTGTCACTCAAAAATTACGGTTTTGATTCAGCATTGAAAAAATTGTTTCAACAAGTAGCCTTCAACAGTCAAATAAAATTGAAGTGGAAACTACGTTAGGGAACTTTCCTCTCAGCCGAAACTTCTCAGATGACGAGCATGTTTTTTTTTTGTTAAAATAATGCTCACAGTTGTGCCAGCGGATATTCTTGATTCCAGATTTGACATTGATCAGTCAGTGTTTATAGCATGCATGACATATCGCAAAAAACTCGAGTTTTGTTGGGGACAAGAAATTAAAACGAAATAAAGAACCTCTTCACTTAATGCAGAATCTAATTGAAGTTTTAAAAGAAACATAAAGTAGAGGTCAATACAAATTGCGGACGCTCGCTCACGGCGCGCCTTCGCTTTTGATTTGATGGACTTTCAGTCTCTGTAACGACCTGCAGTTCTATATAGTAGTTCTATTTGTTGTTACGCACTGTGACAAATTACAACCCCGGGAATATTCAGGGATAGAAAGTCCTTCCGTAATTTAAAATGGTACGTAGATCCTTCAAGGACTTGCCTCGTGGTAGTGATTAGTATCATTTAAACATTGCCTCACTAATTATCTATATGACTACCTCGGTACGCCTTTGTTTTTGTGCTTGGCAAGCGTTTTGTGTTGGAAAAGCCACGTTCATGTGAATTAAACTGAGTAAAGATTGGCCAATCAGAAACTTACCAATAGAGATACAGAGAGAGAGAGCGAACATGAAATTGACTGATTTCATCTCAAAGCTGCTGTTTCTTGCAAAGAACTTGATTTGTTTGATGAACTCTCTGAATTGTGATGTGGCTGAAGGGAGACTGATGTCTGCTGTTACCAATGGTTTTTTTGTGTATATATAATAACAGTTACCGATACAGGTATTTTTACTAACCAATAATTTTCTTCTAGTCGTAACGTTTATCAATATTTCTATATCAGAAAAATGTTTTATTATTTCATAACAACCCCTTTGGAATATATAAGCTACTCTCATGAGTCATATTAGTCATTTCCAAGTTATATCTGCTCCACGATGGCTGAACTTGTTTTTCGGTTTGTCAGCCTTTGATTATACTGAGACTAGATTTTTTTTTTGTCATTTGAAAGTTAGCTTTTGAAATATATCCCCTAATCTAAAAAGCACTCTCTGACAGCGTGAAAAGCCGTGATGTAACTTCGCATTTTACGATTTGAAAATTGAATTTTTGAATATTGTGTCCAAAGAGTGGTTTCCAGTCGTTTGAAAACAATAGCTCAAGTCATCTATTTAACTTCAAGTAAAGTGGTCACTTTAGTGGCTGATTTCCACTTCCCAGTTTCTGAACGTCCTATACCGGGAAAAGTAGCGAGATCCAATAACACTTTGTAGCGAATGAATTTTATTTAGCGTTGTCTCCTATCAGCTCATATAGCTAAAGAGTATTGACACTTAAGTAAAGTTATCAGTGTTATTACTATTATTGTGTTGCTACCTGCATACAAATGTGTCTCCCTTATTTCTGTAAACTAAGTTAGCGTCAGCTAACCGGCTCTGACAGCACTTTTTACTCCTCTCGGCCAAATACATCACTGATCATCAATAAATTTGTAGGTAATGATAGCATTGTTATGTTCGTATGTATTTCATATCATATCTTTGTTTCAGCAATGTGTTCTCGATCGATCACCAGCAAACAAGAAACAAACCTAAGCTTTAAGAAAAATGAAATTAATGTGAAAATATGGGCCCGCTATAAAAATTGCCAGTCAGCTTGAGAGTTGCAATCTTGTAAGTTTATCCAAAAAAAAAGAGTTAAAAATAACTAGTGGAGATTAAGATCATTAAAAAATCTCGATTTCAGCCTGAAGTTATTTGAATCAACAGGAAACAGCAAAATCAGGTCAACTGAACTCGAGAAAATGTTTATGTCATACTATGAAAAGCACAGGCCAAGGAAGGTTGATCTAACTCTCGTGAATTCTGCTCTGAAGGAGCATTGTACTCCAAAATAAGGTGATTGGATGAAGGTTCACGAAAAGGTTTAGATGGAACAGAATATCATTTGTTATGAATATATTACTTGGCAACATATTGCCGAAATACCGAAACCAAATCAAAAATAGCGGACAGTGATCAATCCAGATCGAGAATTTCTGCCAGATTCAAGAGAAGATTCTGCCAGATTCCCTACCCAGGCCGGTTTAAACAGCGGATATTAATATTTGTCTCCCACATAAGACTTTGTTTATAATACCAAATCCTATTTCTGACGAATAAGCCTGCGTATAAGGCTGAAATAAATATCTTGTCGGCACAGGACACTATTCAGCCTGGGTACCAGGTCGGTGCGTCATGGGCAGGAAACCAGAGGTATATAAGAAGGAGTATAGCACACGATAATCATTGAGGCCTCTGTATCAACCCAACTCAGAGCTCCATTTAGTTTAACTTTATTTTTCGGATATGTCTTGCTTCAATACTGGCTTGTTTTCTCTTTGTGAAGCCTCCATAGGATGGGCCAAGATTTTTTGGAGCTAGAGCCTTGGTTCCTACCCAGATTTCCTGCCTATTTTTTCTCATCGGAATTTTGGGAAGGTTTTTTTCTGACCTCCGTTCTAATCGCTCTCACATTGTTGACGGTTGCTTTATTTTTTGTTTTCTACATGCGCCTTTGAATTGGACTGTTTGATATAAGTTGCTTTTCAGTGTTTGACTTCGGTGACTCGTAGATAAGTACCGTTGCTCTCAACTTTAAACTGCTCACGTATTGTTATTTGCACTTACTTGGTATCCTTATTGGCAAGTTTCGTTTGTACACTTTACACGAAGGGTTTCTTTTTTGTCCAAAATAGAGGACTCCCCACCCTAACTGGCAGTTTCACGCTAATTTTGTTGGATTCTAAGTTTGTTAGCCTCACTGGCATGATTGATCGAACACATACGTTTATCTTTAGATTTTAGTTTATATTAATGGAATTCCCAGCTTAACTGGTAGTCGGATGGAAAGATTGTACAGATAACGGCAATTTTTCATGGACATCATCCAAGTGGCCGTGGTAACGTGTTGTGGCCCGGCCAAACGCACGCAACATTTTACAACATTGTGGGATCGTGTTGTGAGATGTTGTGAAGGAGCTGGCCAAACAAGCGCTACATCTTACAACATCCAAAAATTGTTGCAACAAAAACTGACCATTTTTAAACTTGATCCAACAACATCCAACAACTAGCAAAATGCTGCAACACGTTGCTACAGGGTGGCCAAACATGTGCAATGCGTTGCGTGCAACACTGTTACAAGATGTTGCGTTGAAATGTTTTATGCGTTTGGCTGGGCCTATATATCTCTCAAGGGCCAACGATCGATGTTCGCTCTAGTTAATTATTTTACGTTGTTCACATTGGCTTTCACAGATTTTGTAACGTCGAATAGAATTTTGGGTTTGTTCTCGTCGGGCCAAACTCCCAAAATAAAGAACTTATTTGTCAACAAGCGTTGTTGTTTGCGTCCTGTGTAGTGGAGACTAAAATTTCTCTAAAGAAGTCTTTAACGTCGAACCTCAAATTTCTGATAACCAACATTATATTAACATCGATTCCCTTTTTATATTCAGCATTCAGTGAACGTTTTATCAGCAGTCTGCATTCTTTATTATCAGTAAAAGTAAAACAAAAGCATCGTCGTGCAACTTTTAATAATTAAGGTTCCTTAATTAAAAAAAACTCAGTTGATAATACTAAAATACCCTTTTAATTATGAAAGCCGACTTTGTCGCATCATCTTTTTTAACCAGGAAAAAAAGTTATACTTTGTAAAAGCTGCAAAAGAGCAGATTTATACTTAGTCTGTCTCGAAAAGCAGTTCCTTAATCAAGGAACTAAACGAATTAATAAAGACTACAAATGCGCATGCCAGAAACGTGATGGTGCTGGCCGATGGCAGTGTTCCTCTATTACACTGGTCTCCATTGCAGCAGTGGGCAGAACACAAGTTTAGGGACAGATCGCCGCAGAGATCCTCACTTTTGACATAATTTTTGCACCATTGTTCGGTGTCAGTACAACCCTTAGCATATAACGTTCCTCCCCAACTTTGCAATGTTTGTTGCAATTTGGCACATGTATTCTGTCCTGGCAGACAGGTATGTTTCTTCGCTTTACTTCCTCAGTCACCCCAACTCTTGGCACTCATGCACTGGTAACACGTCAAGCAGTGCCCTGAAAATGAAAGTTACATTATGCGACAAAATCATTTATGAAGAGAATAAGAGAGATGGCAAGTTTTGAGGTCGATAAAGAAATAGAGAAAAATTTTTTTTCGTCTCGTCCCTACGAGGTATCGAAATTCCGCGCTCCGATGCTCTACCACTAAGCCTCAGAGACTCTTCTGTGAGCGAGGTCTATTACGAATTTCATATGACACGCGTCCTACATACTAGGATCAGCAATGTCGATAGCGTCATGTTTATAAATAGAATGAGAAATGGTAAGTTTTGAGCTCGGTAAAGAAATAGAGAAAGATGATTTTTCGTCTTGTCACGAGCGGGGGACAAAGAAAAAATTCTGAGTTCCCATGAGGAATCAAACCTCAGGCCTTCGGAATCCGCGCTCCGATGCTCTACCACCACTCCAACATGTCAAGAATAGAGAATCGGAGAAGAATGTAGACCCGAAGATATACACTTTTTAGTTCTTGCCGTGACACAACAAAAGACGAAAAACATCTCAAAATCATTTAACAGTTGCATCCACTGACGCGTAGTTTAAATTAAAACTTTTCCTTGCAGAAATATCTCAATAGAATTGATCTGCACATTATAGAAACTTTGAAGAAAATTTTTTTCTTTGGAAAGTGAGTATTTTATCGTTTGAATCAGCCACGTATGCCAAAAGGAGCTGCCAAGTTTGCGAGGCGAGCAAGCTGCGAAGTCATTCAAGAAAATGATGGAACGGAGGAACGGCGGATTATCTTAAGACGTGAAATGATGGAATATCCAAAAAAATGCTGAATGCCTTATTGTATGAAAGAAAAGGCTCACAAAATGGAATTGCAATGAAATAAGAAAATCATTTATGATGACAGTCGAAATTGTTGGCGCCCAGAGAATATGGGAACCTTGAGGCTTTCGAGCCAGTTGCTTTTAATTATTATCAAATTACTTTTGTTATCATTAGCATTATTGTTAATATGATTATTTGTTACCATTTAATTATTGGTCAAATATCACTATATTCTTGAATCTTCTTTCTCTTGTGGAACAGTATACTTATAAATATGACGTTATAAGTCATGTCGCTCGAAACCTGAGTCATGTTGCCCGAAAAAAAAAGTCAAGTCGCCCGAAGAAACAAATACTAAAAGATCAGAATTTTAGACTGTAAATAGGCAATAACGTTGAGAAATTTTTTATCGCTAAAGCGCTCTTTATTTCCGACAACACCATGAAGTTTCTTAAAGCGTTGTTCGTTCCTAACAACAAAGTGAAACGTTGTACGTTTCCAACAACAAAATGCAGCGTTGTTCGTTTGGTATGTAATCGTTTCTTACTCACGGACGTTTCGTAGGCTTGAGAAACTTTTTCTTGGTTTCTAACAATACCATGAAGACTTTGACTACACAGAAATCGATCGTATGCTCGGAATTGAAATATGTTTGAGTAACGATTCTAAAAGCGTTGTTCGTTTCTAACAACAAAGGGAAGCGTTCTCCGTTTCTGACAAAAAATGAAGTGTTGTTCGTTTGGTATGTACTCGTTTCTTCTTACGGACATTTCGTAAGCTTGAGAAACTTTCTTTTTTCTTAAAATGCCACGAAGACG